TACACACCTGTGATCAAAGCCTACACACCTGTAATCAATCCTACGCACCTGTAATCAAGCCAACACACCTGTCGACGAGAGAAACGGGTGTAATCAAAGCCTACACACCTGTAATCAATCCTACGCACCTGTAATCCAGCCTACACACCTGTCGACGAGGGAGGCGGCTGTAATCCAATACCGTGCCTCATTAAAGGACTTTTCTTCTAATAACTGTAACTTAACCTCCCTATAAGGCTGAGTGATCCTCATCTCTTCCTGATACCTCCTCCTCCTTCCTCCTCCCCCTCCTCCTCCCCTCCCTCCTCCTCCTCCTTCTTTCTTTCTTCTTTCTTCTTCTTTCTTTCTTCTTTCTTATTTCTTCTTCTTTCTTTCTTCTTTCTTCTTCTTTCTTTCTTCTTTCTCATTTCTTCTTCTTTCTTTCTTCTTTCTTCTTCTTTCTTTCATTTTCTTCTTTCTCATTTCTTCTTCTTTCTTTCTTCTTCTTTCTTTCTTCTTTCTTATTTCTTCTTCTTTCTTTCTTCTTTCTTCTTCTTTCTTTCTTTTTCTTCTTTCTTCTTCTTTCTTTCTTCTTTCTTCTTCTTTCTTTCATTTTCTTCTTTCTCATTTCTTCTTCTTTCTTTCTTCTTTCTTCTTCTTTCTTCTTTCTTATTTCTTCTTCTTTCTTCTTTCTTATTTCTTCTTCTTTCTTCTTTCTTCTCCTTCTTTCTTCTTCCTTCTTTCTTCTTCTTTTCACTATCCTCCTCCTCCTCTTTCCTCCTCCTATTCTTCCTTCTTTCCGGGGCTTATGGGCTTTACACTCTGGCCAGGAAGGAGAACCTAACCTAACCTAACCTAACCTAACCACAACCTAACCTAACCACAACCTATCCTAACCTAACCTAACCAAACCACAACCTAATCTAACCACAACCTAACCAAACCACAACCTAATCTAACCACAACCTAACCAAACCACAACCTAACCTAACCACAACCTAACCTAACCTAACCAAACCACAACATAATCTAACCACAACCTAACCAAAACCACAACCTAATCTAACCAATAACCCATCCAAACCACCAACCCAATCTAACCACAACCAACCAAACCAACAACCCAACCAAGCCACAACCTAATCTAACCAATAACCCAACCAAACCACACAACCTAACTCAATAAACCCAACCTAACCAAACCATTTAGACCTAATCTAACCAATAACCCAATCCCAACCAAACCACAACCCAACCCAACCAAACCACAACCTAACCTAACCAAACCACAACCCAACCTAATCCAAACCACAACCCAACCTTAACCAAACCACAAACCTAACCTAACCAAACCACAACCTAACCTAACCAAACCACAACCTAATCTAACCACAACCTAACCAAACTGGCCAGTCCCAACCAAGCCACAACCTAATCTAACCACAACCTAACCAAACCACAACCCAATCTAACCACAACCCAACCAAACCACAACCCAACTGCTACAAACCTAATCTAACCACACAACCTAACCAAACCACAACCCAACCAAACCACAACCTAATCTAACCACAACCCAAACCAAACCACACCAACCTAATCTAACCACAACCCAACCAAACCACAACAACCCAACCAAGGTCAAGTTAAACCTAACCTAACCAAACCACAACCTAACCAAACCACAACCTAACCACAACCTAACCTAACCAAACCACGACCTAATCTAACCACAACCTAACCTAACCAAACCACAACCTAACCAAACCACAACCTAACCTAACCAAAACCTAACCAAACCAAACCACAACCTAACCAAACCACAACCTAATCTAACCACTGCCTAACCTAACCACAACCTAACCACAACCTAACCTAACCTAACCACAACCTAACCTAACCACTGCCTCACCTCACAGACTTCGACCTGGACAACGAATCAGATGAGATAGGATTCATGATTAAGCGGATCAAAGTACACACGAAGAAGGCGCTGAAGGACACGTCATACCGCTTCCCTGGTAACTACGGCGTGGAGAAGTTCCTGGAGCTGTTTTCCGAGGAGGACTACGATGCCTTCTGCCTCGCCTACATGTTCACCTACAGGTAAGTCTTCTTATAATAACACCTGTGGGATTTGTACAGGTATATGTTAATTAGTCACTTTGATGAGAATGTTTATGTGTTAGTTTAGTTACTAAGACACCTTCTGCCTCGCCTTCATGTTCTTCTTCAGGTAAACTTTCTTTTGATAAGAGACTGATTAATTATTGTCATTTAAGGTATTAATTTTTTTACCTGGATTTTTTCAAGGTTTACTATACAGGTACAAAGTTAATATGAGACTGATTTGTTGAGGCCCCACACACACACACACACACACACACACACACACACACACACACACACACACACACACACACACACACACACAGTAGTTTTCACCTTAGCTCTCCTGCAGAAGGCCTCATCACCACGTCTTCCTCCCTCCCAGAGACTTCGAGGGCGGGATCTTGGGTTTATGTGGACGGGAGATTTGAAGAACGCTGGGGGTGTGTGTGTGTGGAGAAGAACGGACACTCACTGCAGAAGTCTGAAGGTATGGTGTGTGTGTGGGGGGCTGTGTGTGTGTGGGGGGTGGGGGGTTGTGTGTGTGGGGGGCTGTGTGTGGAGGGGGGGGGTTGTGTGTGTGTGTGTGGGGTTGTGTTTGTGTGTATATGTGTCTTTTGAGTGAATTCCCAGTGTGTGTGTGTGTGTGTGTGTGTGTGTGTGTGTGTGTGTTGTAATATATCTGTCCGTCTGTCTGCCTGTCTATGTCTTATTTATCTATCTATATAAATATGTATATGTACTTCAGACAACCAACCAATCATGTCCCAGTACTTTAGACGTCCAACCAATCAACTGCCAGTACATTAGACGTCCAACCAATCAACTGCCAGTACTTTAGACGTCCAACCAATCAAATCCCAGAACTTTAGACAACCAACCAATCATATTCTACCACTTTAGACAACCAACCAATCAAATCCCACCACTTTAGAGAACCAACCAATCAAATCCCACCACTTTAGAGAACCAACCAATCAAATCCCACCACTTTAGAGAACCAACCAATCAAATCCCAGCACATTAGACGTCCAACCAATCAAATCCCAGCGCTTTAGACGTCCAACCAATCAACTTCCAGAACCTTAGACGTCCAACCAATCAAATCCTCGTATTTCAGAGCCTCAACACGGGCATCGTCACGCTCCTGAACTACGGCAAACACGTCCCTCCCGCCGTCAGCCACGTCACCCTGGCCCACGAGATCGGTCACAACTTCGGCAGTCCCCACGACCCTGAGTCAGACACCCGCTGTACGCCTGGCGGAGAAGATGGCAACTATATCATGTTCGCCAGGTAAGGGGGACGGGGGGTCATGTTCGCCAGGTAAGGGAGGAGGGGTCATGTTCACCCAGGCAGGGAGACGGGGGGGGTCATGTTCATCAGGTAAGGGGACGGGGGGGTCAAGTGTTCACCAGGCGGGGATGGGGTCATGTTCAAGCACAGGTAAGGGGGACGGGGATCATGTTCGCCAGGTAAGGGGGACGGGGTCATGTTCAGGTAAGGGGGACGGGGGGTCATGTCTGCCAGGGTAAGGGGGACAGGGGTCATGTTCGCCAGGTAAGGGGGGACGGGGGGTCATGTTGCCAGGCAGACAGGGTCATGTCTGCCAGGTAAGGGGGGATCAGGGCCTGTGTCTTCGCCAGGTAAGGGAGAGGGGGGGTCAGTGTCTGCCAGGTTAGGGGGAGGGGCCAAGGTTCGCCAGGTAAGGGGATTTGGGCCTGGTGTCTGCCAGGTAAGGAGGAGGGGTCATGTTCACAGGTAAGGGGATTAAATGCCTCCTGCCAGGTAAGGGGACGGGGGTCATGTTCGCCACAGGTAAGGAGACGGGGCTGGTGTTCGCCAGGCAGGGGATCAGCCATGTTCTGCCAGGTGGTAAGGGAAATGGGTTCATGTTCTGCCAGGTAAGGGGGGAGGGGGGTTATGTTCGCCAGGTAGTGGGGGGGGGATATCATCCTCAAGTATAGTGATGATTTGTTCGAGGAGGAACTTAGTCAAGGATGACTCGAGGGAAAGAACGGTGTGAAAGGGAGGAAGGAGGTGGGGAGGAGGAAGAGTTTTAGGGAAGAAGGAGGAGGAGGAAGGTATGGAGGAGAAGAGGGGAGACTATAGGAAAGGAGAAGGATAGGAAAGGTAGGAAGGAAGAGGAAGACTTTTAGGTAAGTAGGAGGAGAAGGAGGTGGAGGAGAAAGAAGAAGAAAAAGAGGCTATACTGAACAACAAGAAGGAGGAGGAGGAGGAAGAAGCAAAATCTACACAAATTAACCCCCAAAAAATCATACCCTCCCCCCCTACTCTCACCCCATCCTTCCCTCTCTCTCTCCTACACAGAGCTACATCAGGCGACAAACGCAACAACAACAAGTTCTCCCCGTGTTCCCTGCGTCAGATCAACAGCGTCCTCAACTCCAAAGCCAGGGACTCAAAGGGTTGCTTCACCGAGCCCCAGAAAGCGATCTGCGGCAATGGAGTGGTGGAGGTGGGTGAGGAATGCGATTGCGGCTGGGAGGAAGATTGCGATGAGGCGTGCTGTTACCCTATGAAGAACAATCCCAAGACGAATCAAAAGCCTTGTACACTGAGACCCAATAAAGTCTGTTCTCCGTCACAGGTGAGTTGGCTAATTAGGTGTTTGTTTACCTGGTTGTTTGTTTACCTGGTTGTTTGTTTACCTGGTTGTTTGATCGTTTGTACTATATATTTTTTTTTATTCGTTTCAATGTTATTCTCAAGTTATTCTCTTCTGAATATTAACCCCCACACACTCAAACACTACCCCCACGCACTCAACACTACCCCCACGCACTCAAACACTACCCCCACACACTCAAACACTACCCCCACACACACTCAACCCCCACACAACACAAAAACAACTTCACGTACTCTTACAAACCCTAATCTAGACGTTGCTAATAAGGAAAATAACACGTGACCTTAGCCTTGACCTTTGACCTGTATTTCAAGGGCCCCTGTTGTACCTACGACTGTCGCATGAAGGAGGGAGACAAGTGTAGGGATGATAATGGCTGCCGGGACTCCTCCTTCTGCAATGGACGTGTCCCTGAGTGTCCACCCTCTACCAACAAGCCAAATAAGGTAAGTGTCTCATCCTTCCTTCTTTCCTTCCTTCCTTCCTTCCTTCAATCCTTCTTTTCTTCTTTCTTCCTTTCATTCCTTCCTTCCTTCCTTTCCTTTTTTCTTTCATTCATTTATTCATTCTTCCTTCCTTCCTTCCTTCCTTCCTTCCTTCCTTCCTTCCTTCCTTTTCCTTCATTTTGACTTATTATATTAGTACCTTTTTACTACATTTGTACATTTTAATATATAATACACATTTTCCCCCCATTATATATATTAATATTACTCCATGTATTAAAATTTTCCCCCTTCCCCCCCTAGACGATCTGCAATGAGGAATTCGTCTGTTACAAGGGCGAATGTAGTGGCTCCATCTGCCTGGCGTACGGGTTGGAGTCTTGCCAGTGCGAACGAAGCCACGGCGACCCAGTTACTAAAGCGTGTGAGCTGTGTTGCAAATTACCAGGAGAAAATCAGCTTTGTTTGTGAGTGAAATTTGCTGTTGTTGTTGTTTTTGATGGTGGTTTGGGATTATAATTGACCTCCCCATGACCTCTCAATCCCACCTCAACCCGATGTTTAGATTAAATACCTTAGTTTATTTTAGTGTGTGGTTTGGTCAGTCTGTTGGTAAGGTTAAGTTAAGTTAGGTTAGGTTTGGTTTGTTTAAGTTTGGTTAGATTAAGTTAAGCTACGTTAGGTGTGCTTAAGTTAGGTTAGGTTAATTTTGGGTAGGTTATTCCTTACAGTCTCTCATTTGACTTCCTACTTCCTCCTCACAGTCTCTCATTTGACTTCCTACTTCCTCCTTACAGTCTCTCATTTGACTTCCTACTTCCTCCTCACAGTCTCTCATTTGACTTTCTACTTCCTCCTCACAGTCTCTCATTTGACTTTCTACTTCCTCCTCACAGTCTCTCATTTGACTTTCTACTTCCTCCTCACAGTCTCTCATTTGACTTCCTACTTCCTCCTCACAGTCTCTCATTTGACTTCCTACTTCCTCCTTACAGTCTCTCATTTGACTTCCTACTTCCTCCTCATAGTCTCTCATTTGACTTCCTACTTCCTCCTCACAGTCTCTCATTTGACTTTCTACTTCCTCCTCACAGTCTCTCATTTGACTTTCTACTTCCTCCTCACAGTCTCTCATTTGACTTTCTACTTCCTCCTCACAGTCTCTCATTTGACTTCGTACTTCCTCCTCACAGTCTCTCATTTGACTTCCTACTTCCTCCTCACAGTCTCTCATTTGACTTCCTACTTCCTCCTTACAGTCTCTCATTTGACTTCCTACTTCCTCCTCATAGTCTCTCATTTGACTTCCTACTTCCTCCTCACAGTCTCTCATTTTTCTACTTCCTCCTCACAGTCTCTCATTTGACTTCCTACTTCCTCCTCACAGTCTCTCATTTGACTTTCTACTTCCTCCTCACAGTCTCTCATTTGACTTTCTACTTCCTCCTCACAGTCTCTCATTTGACTTCCTACTTCCTCCTCACAGTCTCTCATTTGACTTCCTACTTCCTCCTCACAGTCTCTCATTTGACTTTCTACTTCCTCCTCACAGTCTCTCATTTGACTTCCTACTTACAGATCCTCATTTGAGTGGAATGTCCCTCCTTACGACATCCCGGACATGTACGCTAAAGCTGGAACTCCCTGCAATAACTACAAGGGCTACTGTGATGTATTTAAGAAGTGTAGAGAGGTAAGACACACACACACACACTACCATACACACACACACACACACACACTATCATACACACACACACACACTACCATACACACACACATACACACTTTGAGTCAGCTGTTGTGAATTCCAGTGAACGTTTGTTGAATTTGTCTTTAAACGATGGTGATGATGATTTTAAATGATATTATTAATTTGATTCATTTCTTAAATATTACTTACCAATATTTCAAGACATTTATGAAACATTTATTAACATTTCAGAGATTTATCAAACATTTACCAACATTTATCAACATTTCAGGGACTTGTCTAACATTCACCAACATTTACCGACATTTCAGAGACTTGTCTAACATTCACCAACACCTCGAGACCTGTTAAACCTTACTAACGTGTACCCCTTCGTCAGGTTGATCCATCGGGTCCTCTGGCTACCCTCCGAGGTCTCCTACTGAGTGACGAATCCTTAGCCAACCTTCAGAGATGGATCATAGAGCACTGGTATGCCGTTCTCTTCGTCGTCCTCGCCGTCATGGTCCTGCTGGTGAGTGTCCTGGTGATGGTGGTGACTGTAGGAGGTGTGGTGATGGTGGTGGTGACTGTTGGAGGTGTGGTGGTGACTACTGTTAGAGGGTGAGGGTGTCTTTGGGAAGGGTAGTGGTAAGTGGGGTGTGGTGGTGACTGTGTGAGGGTGGTGGTGATGTGTGGTGACTGTGATGGATGGTGATATTGGTGATTATATGAGGGAAGTAATGGTGATAATAGTGGCCATTAGGTAGTTAGTCTGTTGTTTGTGTGTTACTCTTTTATGACCTATATTGTCCGGTGTTAGTACAGGAGGAATAGAAACTGGAATACCCACTCAAAATCTCACTGGATAACACCCTTCTCATATCCGATCCATTCCGGAGATTGAACCCAGGACACAATGGTAGGCAGCACGCGTGTTATCATCAGCGTGTGTGGATGGGATGGTGGTGGTGGTGTTGGTGATACAATACTGGTGAATATAAAGGAAAAATAAAATTGCAATTGTTGCTTATGGTGATTTTAATGAAGCGTCTTGGTGTCTGCCTTCTTGGTACAGTAAATACAACAATGCCAGATTGACTCATAGATAAACCGACCCCTCTCATTCAAGTGTCATTTTTTTCTAATATTTTACACCAATATTTAGCCACTGTATACTCACCATTCTCTCTACCTACAGCATATATAGTGAAGATAGCAATGTGTGTGTCAGTGTGTAGTCGGGTTGGTGTCGCTTAAGCTGTCAGTGTCTGCTGTTGAACTGTATGTAGGTTGGGAATAGGATGAGTGACAGATTAGAGGTGGATAAGCTTTCTGT